ATTTATGTCTTTTATATGAAGAGTATGTTCAAAATTTGATACAACTAAATAATTTTATTAAAAAAAATAAAAAAAACTTATCGTATTCTATACATATTTAACTTTTAACCATACCAATTAAAAAAATTAGTTGAATTTTATTTTGTTGTATTTCAGTTAATATTTTTAAAATCAATAGTTTGCATCGATTTTTTTTAATTGAAGACAAAAATTTATTTGTATTCTGAAATCAAAATAGAAATATACTTTTAACTTTTACTCAAACTACAGACTTATATTATTAAAACAAAATAACAAAATAGTAGTATTTTTATACTAATATTTTTTTATAATAACTCATCATATATTTATAAAAATAAATATATTTAAATAAGAAAAAATAAGGATAAATCTCTCAAATAATCTATAACGTCCTACAAATACCGAGTAAAAATATTATTTTAAAATAAGTCCAAATCATTCGTTTCTTTTTTTCAAAAACGATCAGAGTAAAAGTATTCTCAAAAAATCAGAATAAAATCATAAATAGTTAATGCAGAATAAATCTTTAGGGGATGCAGTGCAATCAAGCCGAACCCTTCCTTTTGAAACCAAAAGTACCTGAAAGCATTTGAAATATAAACCGTAAGTACATGGCTTACTGAGTTCTCCCAAAATATTATATATCAAATAAGAATGGGCCCAGCCAAAAATACATGCGATGATATCATTCGGTAGCAACCCATATCATCCGGTCCCAGCCCATATTATTCTGGCCTGACCCATATAATCGGGCGTAACCCATATAAAACATACATAATTGGGCCCAACCAACATAAAACATACCTAATCGGACCTAACCCATGTAAAACGTACACAATCGGACCCACTGTAACATCCCAAAAATCAAGGATAAAATTTTCATTTTTATTATAATCAAAACATAGCTATGCCTTGACCCAAACATTTAAAAACATTTCTAAGTAACACAATTATCATAGTTGAATCCCAAAATCACGTATAGCGGAAAACACAGGTGTATACGCTGCGATCAACCCGAGCTCTTTCATTTGAAAACTGGAGTACCTAAAACATAAACTGAAAACTGTAAGCACAAAGCTAAGTGAGTTCCCCAAACACCATATATAATGCAAACATATTGGCAGGCATATATGGGTGCTCGACCTACGCCTTTAGTCTATTTCAACTGGATACTGCCGAGCATATCTGGGTGCTCGACCTACCCATGTCAGGCATATCAAGGTGCCCAACCTACCCTTATCACTTTATCAGACATATCTGGGTGCTCGACCTACCCTCTGGTTTATTCCAACCGATTATGGGGTCTATCTCACCCCGTACCACTACCATATAAAATCATGAATATCTCACATAAACATCAAACAATACATACCGCCTTAATAATTATCACAAAGACAATTATTAAGCCATAATATTACTAGTGGGTCGGCCTTGGTGCCTTCGACCCACGAATTCTACGAAGGGAGACCCACCTCGAATGCAGAAGCTTACTGAAAGAAATCCCTAGCTGCTACTTTGATGCATTCCCGAGCTATCAATACTAAAATAACACCGAATTATCAATTGGATTCCTAAACCGAGATCCATAATCCATGCTTGGTCTAAAATGACCATTTTACCCCTTGTAACATCCCAAAAATACAGTCTAAAAATTTCGTTTTAATTTAATAATAAAACCATAGTTACCGAACATCTTATAAAAACCATAACCAATGTTTCTCAAAATATCATAACAACTGTCAAAATATATCAGAGTATAAACATCCCAGGCTGAACGGATGGTGTGTGCACTGCAATCTTCCCGAGCTCCTCTTTTGAAAACTGTGTACCTGAAACCAAGACTGAAACTGTAAGCACGAAGCTTAGTGAGCTCCGCCAAACTACTACATACCATACAATAACATATAAGCACATACTGGGCCTTGCCCACTGCATCGGACTAAAGTCCGGAAACTGCATCGAACCAAAGTTCGAAACTACTAGGGCCTTGCCCTCTACATCGGACCGAAGTCCGGAATCTACATCGGACTGAAGTCCAGAACTAACCAGGGCCTTGCCCTCTGCATCAGACCGAATTCCAAAAACTGCATCGGACCGAAGTCCAGAACTGACTGAACATGGCATAGCATAAGCATAACGTAGAACATAAACACATATACTGCATACTGCATCGAACTGTAGTCTGGAACACATAACACATAATCCTACCTGAGTCACGAAGACATAAAACATACTACTACTACATCGGACCGAAGTCTGAAACTGATTCAACATGGCATAGCATAAGCATAACATAGAACATAAACACATATACTGCATACTGCATACCTTCCAGAGAATGTCATTTATGTATATTAAAGATGAGATGAACCAAACAGACAACTTAATACCTTCCAAAGAATGTCAATTGATGTATATCCTTGCTTCCCACAAGTTCCTAGATTTGATTTACTTGTTTCCCTAAGTGTTCCTCACCAAGATCTCTCTTCAAATCTCTATCACACCAAAAAAAACACACACACACACACAATTAGGGTTTAAGGGTGCTAAGAAGCTGTAAAGGGAGGTTGGGGAAGGCCAATGATTATTTAAGTAGGGTGCGAAACCCCGTGATTTAGGGTTACATCTGTCAGCTCCAACTCCGCGAATCCGTTCTTGGACTCGGCGTGTAGATCACTATAACACGCGGGGCATGCCAGACTCACACTGAGGACTCAAGAGTATTCCAGATATGAGCTGAGGGCCGAGCGGGGCATGCCAGACTCATACTGAGGACTTGGGAGCATTCCAGATACAAGCTGAGGGCCGGGTAGGGCATGCCTAACTCGTACTGTGGGCTCGGGAGCATTCCAGATACGAGCTGAGGGCCTAGTAGGGCATATCAGACTTGTACTATAGGCTCAGTGGCAATCCAAATGTGAGCTATAGGCTCGAAAGGCAATCCAGACTCACACTGTAGACCTAGGGGTAATCCAGTTTGTAAAGTTGTGAACTCAGTACATGTTGTTATTTGTATATTTGTTAGTTGCCATGTATCAGTATTTTGGGGGAACTCATTAAGCTTTGGGCTTACAGTTTCAGTTATTGTTTCATGTACATCAGATGATCACGGGAAGTCAAAGGCATGATCGTACAACTCCTCATGTTTATGACTTTTTTTCTGGGATACTTTGATATTATACTATTTTGAAAACAAGTTTTGTAATGATTAATGGTTTTGATACATTTTTAAAAGTTTAAATTTGGCATGACTTTTATGGGTGTTACAGCTAGGCCCAAGGGTATGTATGGTATGTGGTATTTTGGGGAACCCACTAAGCTTTGTGTTTATCATTTTTATGGTTATGATTTCAGGTACTTCCGGTTTGAAATGGAAGGGTTTGGCTTGATCGCAGCGCATCCACCCATGTTTCCACAACTATATGATTTTGGGATTGTACTTTGATAACTTTTTTATTCTGAATTATATTTGAATGATTGGAAAAAAGGATAATTGGTGTTTAGAGAAAGAGCAGTGGTTTGATTCTCAGATTTCATATCCTTGGTTATCCTCTACATCTTCGGATAGGCGGAATTGGTCCCTTGATGGTTTCGGTTATTTTTTTGTGTCTTCTGTGAGATCAAAAATTGATAAGCATTTTCTTATTGGGTACAACTATTAGATGGTGTCGTGTCACTCCAATAAAAGTTGATGTTTTTGTCCTATTTGCGAGAAGGAAGTCGAGATTGTCACTCATTCATTCTTTGAATGTAAATTAGCTATCAACTTATTAAAACATTTATACAGATGGTGGAATATTCATATGCCTTCTTTGTTTTCAGTGAAAGACTTGATTAACTGGGTTGGCTTGTTGTGTTTGTCTTCTCTTTGTCAGGAGTTTCTAGAGGCTGTTTTTTACGCTCTCTGGTGGTCGATTTGGAGCTGTAAAAATTCTATTGTTTTTTGTAAAATTAAGCCTAAAAAATGTTTGTTGTTTGATAAGGTGGTTTCTAAAAGTGTCTTTTGGGCTAATAGTAGGTGTTGTAAAACAATGTGAATTGTGTTGCCTGATTGGAGGTCTCAGTTTTGTTTACTGCTTCCATGTCAATGTTTCTTTTGTCTAGATTTTTGCTAGCTTTCAATTATATATTCGTCGTTCTAAAAAAACGTTTGTCTATCCTAGTTCTAACTAGACTCTCAACCGAAGAAACTACATGCCTGAATATATTTGCTAAAATATTTGCAATTGTTCTAAATTCTCAATCGATGAAAGTACTCTAAAATTAGTCATACATAGTAGATTACTATCCTTGTAGATAAGAGCAATGAAATATTGATTATATCCATTCAAGATCAAAATTGACTTTTTAAACTCATTAATGGTTTCAACAAAGTCATTTTAAAGAATATCATAATAATTTCTCAAAAAAAAACTCATCTAGTGCAAAATATGTGTACCTTCACAATCTCACATTATATAGTTCCGCTACTAGAAGAACAGCCTTTTACGATGCTTATTGCGTGTCATAAAAGGCTCAGACAACGTGCAAATGCGCGTCAAGGAAGGCCATGTCATAAAAGGAGACGACGCGCTTTTAAGGAAGGCCATAGATGACGTGCATTTACGACGCGCGTGTTAATGACACGTAATGCGTATCAAGAAAGGCCATGTCGTAAATGAAGATGACACTTATTTTTTAGTATCATAGTTTTAAAATTATTAAAAAAATATTATTTATGGATTTACTAATTTTCAAATTAAATTTATATTTAATGTCTCATAATAGAAAATAAAATATCATATACAAAAAATACAATCCATTGCATAAAATTTAATGTCATACAAATAATCGTTCCATGCAAAGATAAAACAAATCAATAGTTGTAACAAAATTTTACAAGCTAATTAGATTCAAGAAATATCAAAAAATATACCCTCAAATGCTTTTCAAAGTCTAATCTCCATGTCAGCTCTTCAACTCACTTCTCCATCTTCAACTTACTTCTCCAATTTCTTCTTAGGTTCTCTAAGGGCTCCAGCATCTCTTGCGGTTTCAAAGGCAGAAAGAAGAATAGAACGTGATATTATTTTGCCATTGGAAAGCTATGTTAACTTTTTTTTAATTTAGAAAAAAAATCTGCTTCTCTAAAATATTATCCAACAACAATGCTAAAATGTGTTTAAAAGTTAAATGCAAAAAACAGAACCTGTTCTGTGACAATTCCATTAACAGACCTAGAAAGAATTGCACGTGACTTTATACCCCTTTCAGATTGTGGAGCTTTTTCAGACTCAACTCCATCCTACAAAATACAACATCAATCAAGAAAATATATAAGTAAACATGCAAAACCAAAAACTTACAATAAAACATAATATTATAGCTAATAACGATATATTAACCACACCTTTTGCCTCGACACTATTGTTGCAAGCTTAGAAGATTTCACTTGCTGCACGGTAACCTCCACAACTTTACTCCCACACACAAAATTCACGTGTGATGTGTTTATGTAATCCATCTACCCAAAAAAGCAATATTTTCAACCATGTCATGATAAAAATAAAAAATAGAGATAATGATACGTACCTCCATTTCAACTATGTGCCCAATCATGGTTTCAGAAGGTTGAAGACCATCACTTAAAAAATTCCCTATGGCATCATCCATTCTCTTTCTGAGAACAGGTAATCTCTGTAACTCATTCACCATACATCGATGGCCCATCTAAAACGTGAACAAATCAGTGAGCTCAGTGTCCAATTATATGAATCTTACACATTGAAGGCTTGGATCTAGTAAACAAGCAATCTGTCGTCTAATTAGAACTTCAAATGGAACTTGTGTAACAAAATATTAAGTTATAAAAAGTATGTAGATGTGACTTGTGAGTGAGGGGTTATAAAAATAAGACCTACTTCAGGTACAAACAATGCAGATCTAGGGCTTGTTGCATTTTGTATGGCGGTTCTGATGTCATCATCAGTCAAGTCCTCACAAGGGTCAACTTCCTACAGTAGTAACTTGATTGATTAAATATATTTATTGCAAACTAAGGGATTTTGGTGTTAAATATTAATAGGTGAAAATGTGTATTCTTGCTCCTCCTGACATCTCCTCCTGTGTGTATGGAAAAAACATGTGATTAACAGCAAAACCTGTACAACTCCTCACAAAAACAGGCGCTTATTTTTATGACTTTTCCAACTGTCATTAGGTTAAGAATCACTTGTGCAGATGTCTTTTCTGTTCTAACTATCTCGAGTAGTGGCATCACATGAGCTGGATTGTAATCATTTCATTTAATAAAATAAAAAAAAGAAATTATTAGTTGAAAAAGTTAAATAATCTTAAAACAAAGATGTGGATTATTTTGTTTAACCTGAAGAAATTTGCCCCGATAACTCGATCATGAGATTTGATTTTTTATCCAATTAAATTGAGGTTAATGGTGGATGTGTTGGTTGCTAAAATGCATTGAGGAGGAAAAATGTTTTCAATTTCACTGAAGATTTTTTTGCTTCAATGGAATGTTCTCAATTACAGTCTGCATTCACAAATAGAGTTGTCAAATTATGTGTTCATATTTTATGTTTTTATTAATTTAGCCACTTGACTATTTTCTCTAGTGATTAAACTATTAGGACATAAAACAAATAGTATTGATTTTTTTAAAGATCATACCTCTATAACCATATCTACATCTTTGAATTATGAGTAATCCAATACCCCACTAACCAATGAGCTTGTGCTAACTTCTTCTTTGCTACCAATCCATTAATATTTCCTGAAAAGGTCATAAAATATATAACCAATAAGTCACATAATAAATTAGCTACAAAATTGTCCTATAACCTAACAGCACAAAAAGAAAAGAACCCATGTTAAAGAGATGAACTTTCAATCTATTTCTAGTTTTTCTACCAAAATCACTCAATGAAATCAGTGCCTACCATCAGGATCTGCATTTCCAACGATTTGAAGTGCATCTGAGTTGGCAAGGTCAACATTTGCGGGTGTGACAGGTAAGATTAAGCAGCTAGGAAGCCTAGTGTATGACATTATCATTGTCCTAATACGAGCTTCAATGTTTGATGGCTAATCTCCAACAGGAACTTTTGTTGTACAAGATAAATCCACAAGGGTAATGTCAAGTACATTAGGTGAAAAAATCTTTAAACGAATTTGTTTATCAAAGAGACCCTTGTTTCCTCCTGCTTCCCTATCTGTCTCAGCCTACATTATTCAGACACCCAACTAAGGTGTTAGTGATCAGACTTTCTGTTGGTTGACATAAAATAAAGTTTAGCTTTTTCATAGAGGCTTAAAGAATCAACACTTATCATAGCTCTAACATTTTTCCTCTTAATGAATCCTTATACACAAACATACAATTGATTCAGATGAGCTATAGCAAATACACTCTCTCTAGCTCTGAATAATCTAATCACCTAGCTGATGTGCAGCTTATGAGTATATACAAAAATTACTTGAACATGAGAGGATATAGATGCATTGCTGGCCTGAAAGACAAAGACTCGTTTTGCTAGGTTTAACAGACAGTTAGACAAATTCTGAATCATTATCCATATCAATTAGAATGTCACATTCTTTAAGCTCCATTAAAATATACTCAGGGTTCTATCAGACATGTAGTTTTGAGTTTTCTGAAGTTGACGAATTTAGGCAGTGTGTTATTAATCTTGGTAGGTAGAAAAAACAACTTTTGGTCTAAGTATTCAAAGCCCTTTATTTTAAAGACAAACGACCTCAAATATACATGATAAGGTTTCTCACAAAGTGTGATCTTATGCTTGTTTTCTATATATAATGCAAAGAAACACAACCATTAATTTAACCAAAAGAAACTCATCACAATTTAGATATCATGATTTATTACTTACCCCTTTTCTGTCGGAAGGACGAGGTGCTAATTCCTTTTTGGTGACAACATGCCCTTTGTTTAGACCCACAAAGAGTCCTGCGTTTGGCTGTTTTGGAGCCATTGGAACCTGAAAACATAAACATATATTAGCATAAAGCAACATACACTTCACAACAGATCATCAACTTAGCCTATGCAGTTTTGATTCAATATGACCTGAAAACCTTACAAGCCTCAGACTACAATCAAAATGCGCAATATATATTCTTATTAAACATGAAGCTGATTACAAGATATAAATGAGTTTATGCGTGCCAATAAGTTTGTAAACACCAGCAAGCTTATAAGCATATGGAAAGCATCTCAGAAGAAGATGCGGGAAAACTAAAAGTACAACGAGGGCAGAAAAACAACCTGGGCAAGAAGAATTTGAGACCATGTAAACTTTAGTTGTTGTACATTGTACTTGCTTCTTGAAAGAAACTCCCAAATATCTTGCCTTAATTGTTGTACATTCGGAGACTGGGATACAGTCAGGAACAACATCTCCTCGTTCATGTTATTCATTACCTCCTCCAACCATCATCCTTCACCACCTCCTCCGATTTTCATGGACCCGATCCACTACTCTAGCCTCCGAGCGGAATCCTCAAGTCGATCAAACCTCGGTGGTCTCGAATATCACGTGATGTACGTCAACGAGGATGTGAGCCTGAAGTGGGCCCTCAATTCTTAACTCCACACCGGAGTACTTGATCTGAGATACGAGCTTGGTTGTGTTATTCCTTTAGGATAAACAAAAAGGATTCGGTAGTAATGGAGGCGGATTAGAGTTTATAGAGAAAAGGAGAAGGAGAGAGTGAAGGTTCTTGACTGGTGGAGAGGATGAATTCGTTATTCCTTCCCAAACAGCAACAAATCATTCAAAACAAGAAAAAGATATGTGAAGAAATGAAAAATAAATTGATTATCTGGGTCTCTAACACAGAAGTTTCAAAGGTGATGACGAGATGCAATTGGGAAGCTAATGGAGCAAAGTTACGGTTCTTTGTCTGTGTGTTTTTTAATTTATTTGTGGGGGATCTGAAACAAACGAGAATCAAGATTCACATTACTAATATTAAGACTTGAGAATATAATTAGGGCGTTTTCTAACAATTTCAACATCGAGTGGGAGATATGGTGGTTTTAGTGGGTAGAAGTAAGTGGGGGAAAAAGTAGGCGGTAGTAAGGAAGGAGCGTTCATAATTTGGGCAAGAGGGAAAGGAAGGCGGGGTTTTTAATTTTTTAAGAATTTCATTTCCCCCTTTCCCCAACTATGGAATGCGCGTTCCATTAAAAAATATAAAGCGGCATCCTTAGACGACGCGCATTTTATTATAGGTGTCCTCCGTGTTTTTTTTAAACACTAATTTAAGGGCACGCAATAATGCGTGTCTTCTATCCTTAAATTTTTTGAAGAGATAACATTTGTTTAATGTCACTCTCCTTTGTGTAACATATATCAACGAGTGTCATGGTTTGCGCGTCGTAAAAGGGTCTTTTTCTTGTAGTGTTCCTTAATTTCAAAAACACAAATCACAACATCCATAAACTAACCTCCAGATCAGATAATATTTTAAGCAAACTAGTAGCTTAGATAAGACGTTAGTTCACTGTTTCGAAAGAAAAAAATACTAAAAATCGCAATTATCACCTATTCTAAATGAGAAGTCGAAACCTCATTCATCGGAATGCTATGAATGGTCAACCTACGACTTTTATTAATTAACATAATCTGAAGTTTATATTACAATTTAATTACATATAAAATTTGTTGATTTAGCTTAAAATAGAATGATCATATTAGCTCAACATTAAACAATTCAACTTGCAAAGCCTGATTCAACAATGATTTGTAAAGATCAAAACTTATGGATTTAAAGGTTTATGTATACGAAAAATTAGTATATAGGCAATGAAGAAGATGATTGTTCGTTGTCTTCTTATTGTCATCGTGTTTTTGGTATTCTCAATTGGTAAATGTTAATGAGTGCACAGGGATAGATACATAAAGGGTCTTAATTGTTCTCCCTTCAAGGAGGTTAAGTTTAGGGGCCAATAGGACGGCCAAAAATCGAATGAAGAATCAATAGTGCAACAAATGAATCATATGGACTAAAAGATGTTATTTTCAACAACTGTAATTACTTTTAATATAATTTAAGAAAAGTAAAGTTTAATATTTTTTTTATTTTCTGCTCCTATATTTCATTCCATCCCCAAGTTCATATTCCAGATATTTGATAGCAACGGATTTGGCTGTCGTAATAGGTCAATTTTGTAGTGACTTAATTAAACCCATAGATTCCATTGAGCGACACAGCTCACTTGTATGTTGATTTTTCCTTATATGGTTACATGTATGAAAGGATAAATTTGAGTCCTCATCAAATACTCCAAAAGAAAAGGATCTGTCTCTAAGAAAAAATTATTGTGTGAACAAAAAAAAAAAAAAAAAAAAATGAAATCAACCCTAGCTACAAACTAAAACCAAACAAATTTATGGTGGAAGTATTAGCAAAGAAGAAAGCAAGAAAAATCCATTTAGAAGCTAAAAGCTTAAGGGGTACATGAGAAACGTAAATGCACATGCACATGCACATGCTTATTGAACTTGACTTGGTATGCTACCTTATTTTATTAGTTTCACATGAAGAACCTAGATACGATCTTAAAACATATAAAATACATATATAGGATTACCACATTTAGAAACCAAAATGACGTACGACCGACCATCTAACATTTGTTTCCATCAAACACAACATGCATGCATGCTGTCATATATATCATGTCACGCCTGAAGAATGACACCCAAAGAGTCTACGGAACTGCCACACTTTCCATAGAATCCCGAAAACTTACCGCGTGTGACCCCAAACGAGAAATCAGTCCCGGGGTTTGTGCCGTATTCCCCATAAGTTCTGATGTTGGTCCGGAAAGTCACTGACGTAATCACGGTGTGGTCACCAAATGATCCGACACGCCCACTAATCCCGATGAGATACTCATTGTCATCGAAGATGATCTGAAACCCAAATATAAATATCATGACTGCTATATTGTAAAAAAATAAGAACCTAACTTCGATACGTGTATACATGACAGATGAATTAGAAGCTTACCATATGAGGTGAGCCACCATCACCACCGAATTTTTCAGAAGAATGGGTATGGCCATACCCATCCTTGTAAGTGAAGCTGATGAAATCTAAAGCGTCTCCACTTCTTAAAGCTATCTTGGAAAGTGTTGAACCATCAGGTATTATGAATTCCCAGGTACGGGATCCACCCTTTCCTCCCCAAGTTGTACCCCATACGCATTCTGCATTGGCTGCCTGCATATGAATCCAGAATAAAATATATTACTAAAAGAGATGAAAGAACTTTAGCAATGAAGAAACGATGTAAACCTCACATTCCCTATTCAAATATGGATAACAAACTCTCAGAATATGGTGAAAGTATGTACCATTTTGGTCTGTATGGAACTGAAGTTGTTTGTACGTCTAGTCCGTTAAGTGCTTGACTATATATAGACACCAGCTTAGGGTTGTATAATTGAATGGAGGAGTTAGAACGAGGTGAGGTGGCATGTCTAAAACATTTCACGAGATCCACGTTTTCCAATTCCTAAAAGCTAGAGATGGTTGTTGGAAAAATAAAATTAAATCCGATTGATACAAAATATATTCAAAATAAAGCATTTGATTGAAAACTCACATGATGCATGTGTAAGGAGTCTAGGTGTGATCGTCTTATATTTCCTCGTGCAGTAATTACAAGCACTCAAGCAGACATAAAACAATAATTAGTACCTAACACATTGATATTTGATAAACAAGAGTCAAAAGTTTTGTATCTTTGCTTCCTGTTTCCATGTCTTGTTAGTCGTTTTTGGTATATTTCTAGCATAGCAGGATGACTTTTTATAAAACTTTTGCTGTTTCAGAAAAAGAAAAAGGTACTCCTATATGCACCTTTTCAGAAAAAGAAAAAGTTTCAACTTCAGATCTTGGCTCAAACACAAAAGCCTTTCCTAAAACCCACCCAAAAAGATATTAAATATGAGATGAGCCAAAGAGAAAGCTTAATACCTTCCAATGAATGTCAACTGATGTATATCCTTGTTTCCCACGAGTTCCTAGCTTTGATTTACTTTTTTCCCCAAGTGTTCCTCACCAAGATCTCTCTTTAAATCTCTATCACACCAAAGAAATACACACACACGATTAGGGTTTTAGGATGCCAAGAAGCTATAAAGGGAGGTTAGGGAAGGACAATGATCCTTTAAATAGGGTGCAAAACCCCAAGATTTAGGGTTTCATCTGCCAGCTCCTACTCGTCGAGTCTGTTCTTGGACTCGACGAGTAAATCACTAAAACACACGGACTAATCCGCTGCTACTCGGTGAGTAGGGCAGCCAACTCGTCAAGTAGACCTTGAAATCAAGAAAATTCTCACATAAACAGTACCTGAAATTTAGGGCGTTACAACTTGATTATTTGTATGGGCATTAGTTATGTTATATATCAACATATTATGTGGGTTGGGTTGAGGTTATACTACTTCGTGTGGTAGCCAAAAAACCCTAGAGTATTCCAGATATGAGCTAAGGGTCGAACGGGGCATGCCAGACTCACACTGAGGACTCAAGAGTATTCCAGATCTGAGCTGAGGGCCGAGCGGGGCATGCTAGACTTATATTGAGGACTCGGGAGCATTCCAGATACAAGATGAGGGCCGGGTAGGACATGCTAGACTCATATTGTGGGCTCAGGAGCATTCCAGATACGAGTTGAGGGCCAGGTAGGGCATACCAGAATCGTACTATGGGCTCGGTGGCAATCCAGATGTGAGCTGTGGGCCCGGAAGGCAATCCAGACTCACACTGTGGGCCCAGGGGTAATCCAGTTTGTAAAGTTGTGAACCCATTACATGCTGTTAATTGTATATGTGTTAGTTGCAGTGTATCAGTATTTTGATGGAACCCACTAAGCTTTGGGCTTACAGTTTCAGTTTTTGTTTCATGTACATCAGATGATCGCGGGAAGTCAAATGCGTGATCATACAACTCCTCATGTTTATGACTTTGTTTCTGGGATACGCTGATATTATACTATTCTTAAAACTGGTTTTTTAATGATTAATGGTTTTGATACATTTTTAAAAGTTTAAAATTCGCATGATTTGTATGGGTGTTACAACTAGGCCCAAGGGTATGTAGGGTATGTGGTATTTTGGGGAACCCACTAAGCTTTGTGTTTATGATTTTTATGGTTATGATTTCAGGTACTTCTGATTTGAAAAGGAAGGGTTTGGCTTGATCGCAGCGCATCCACCCATGTTTCCACAACTATAGGATTTTGGGATTGTACTCTGATAACTTTTTTGAATTGGTTTTTAAATGATTGGAAAAAATGATAATTGGTGTTTCTAGTTGAATTAAAATGAAAATTTTACCTTATACTTTTTGGGTCGTTACATCTTTACTGTTTTTCCTTACCTTCTAGCCTCATGATTAA